CTCTCTCTCTCTCTCTCCCCCCATCTCTCCCTCCATCTCTCCCTCCCTCCATCCCTCTCTCTCTCTGTGAATAAATGATCCTTGTGAAATACCCCTAACTACCAATAATATCAATGAATAGTTGACTAATACATGTATAGGGTGGTTTCTCCGCCATTTTGTATAATACTCTTGAAGCAGGTCACACAGTACAGTGAAAGCAATCGCAATCAACTTATGCAAACCAAGCGTGACGGAATTTAATTTCAATGAAAATGGTCTAGGGGTAGATAGCAAAGAGTAATTAGAATTGCATTAGAGCGCCACAGACAATGAATTGGCTTCCACATGCATGTACAATCTTTGCCTATATACGCAAAGCACATTTAATCCTATCAAATTACAAACATGCTAAGCTACATGCATTGCAAACTGCTACACGAGATTAGCGAGAACCATCAAAAGAGATCATCTTCATTATTAATGAAAGTGTGGATTGCAAAATAATCAATATTGAATATTGCAAGTTAAATTTCCTTGGATGTAACACAAGTTACCTTGTGGTAATTTCCTTTTTCCCTTGGCAAATTTTTTGACCTAATTTTAAAAAAATGTACTGGTATATATATATTCTAAAGCTCTAAGTGCATTGGTTAGTATCAACATGGGTTTTCCAAAACCGCTTAACTTCCAATGGAAAAAATAGTTTTCTAGAGCAAAGATCACTGCTGTCAGAGTATTAATCAAACACCACTTGCACAAACTTTATACTGTGTAAGCCAATATTTTCATGTAGATATAATTTGTTCATGATACAGAGTACATAGACATAATGATTAAACTCCTTGCATAACCCATTCATGCATGTACTGCCTATTCATTTTTCTGTGACATTGTTAAATTCTGAACCAAGTGACAATTTACAAATTTTGCACATATTAAACTCTCAAGAAAATACATGTAAGAGAATACAGTACAGTGTGTGTGTGCAACTGATATATATATGTTAACCTATTCTCATTGAAAGTTCAAATATGAATAACAAATATAACTGCAATGTGCAACTATTGAACTTTACATTTTAGGACCATCACCTATAGCTTTATCTTATTTCAAACTAATAAATGTTGAACTCTGTTACATAGTCTTAAAATTTCTCCCCAATATCTGCCATAATGTTACAAACTGTATATTTTAACTTCTTTACACAAATCCACCTTTACTTTTCTTTGGGTTTTTACGTAGGTGTTACTATTACATCAGAAGAATGATAAGGAATGAATATAAGTTGATATTTGACAGCCATTGTACTTTGAGAGAGAAGGTACTTGAATTCCCAGACGTGACTATCGATTTCCCCACCAAATTATTCCACTTCCCTTGTGAATATACTGTTACAGCAAAAACTGTGACATAAACTATATTTTGTACGAATTGTGATCAACATGGTCTGTTCACATGGAGCTGACAATCGTAGGTACATGTCATTTAAGTTTAGTTTGATTTTGTGATATAAATATATATATATTAATATTTTTTTCTTTCATTTCCTGAACTCAAAACAATCTTTGGAGCTTCGACTATCGAACTCGCTGTTTCCATTATGATGTGGACTTACCATAGTAGTCTACATACTTCAGAACTGGTTATTGTTTAGAGGCAACGGGTGAGAGCTGTTTTTGTTTAAATAATTTGAAAGGATAGCAAACACTTTCAAATAAACAAAGAATGGGTTGACTTCTGTCTACATATACATGTATGTGTGTACGTGATAGGAGCACAGAAGACACAAAAAGCAAGGTAATTTGCTTTTATCGAAACAACAGTCAGCTTCAACCTTTGAACCTTTGAAATATTTCCTTTCTCTCTATTTTTTATAATTTAGACTAGATCAATGCGAACAATAAATACAAGGAGAGGACCTACTCAAAAGCTGATCAATATGTTGAGTACTAATTGTGGGATGTGACACCTACTTTCTACTGTCAATATATACCTACTGTATTTCTTAATTTCTGGTTGATTTTGATATTGCAATTCAGTTTAGTGATACTAAAATAACATTCATTTCTTTGCCTTAGTACCAACTCATATGTAAATCCATCAAACTTAATTATTTGATTCTTATTCACAAAGCGTTTAGAGACATTTGTATTAAGCGCTATATAAAAATTAAATATTATTATTATTATTATTAATTACTAGAATCGGGTGAGAAATTTCACTTTTTTTGTGATGTTCTCATTGCTCAATACATCTCATGTCCAATGCTCTTGGTAATGTAATCTGCTTTAGAATTTGTGTATCATCCTAATTTATTTTCATGGTTACATTTCAATCTGCTCTATAACACAGCAATATTGTGCCTTGTAAACATGCATTGGCATGCTCCAGCTTCTAGTCTATATGTACTCCAACAAGCTGTCCTACATACTCTGACTTTATCAACTACAGTACCTGGCAACAACGAGGAGGTGTAAACAGGTGGAAATGAAGATTAAGTGCACTGCTTGATTCAATTATAAAAACTGGATTGAAATCAACTTAAATTCCTTAGAGAAACAGAAATAGAAATTCATTAGTTTAGAAGTAAATCAAGAAATGAAATTATCGTGTAATATAATTGAGTCAGGCAGTCTTGAATATCACAGAAAAATGTCTTAAAGCCCCACTGCACTAGTTTGGCCAGGAGGGATTAGACCTCCCTGCACGGTCAGTGACAGGTGGTTTTCTCATCAAATAAGCTCTCCATTAATGTAAGAAAAAGAGGATCATGAGGGACCAATGGTCCCCGATTAGGCATTGTTTGCTACATAGAGGTGCAAGTAGGTGTAAGTAGTGCAGTGGGGCTTTACAAACTAGCACTGAAAACAAAGGAATGAAGAGAAAACAAATATCTGAATGGCGACTGGAATGGACACTGCAAATGGGAAATTTGCTTGTGGACAATTTTTTCTCTAGACATCAAAGACATTTCTTCTTCCTTTTACCTGTGTTGTAGCTGTAAACTATTTTTCTATGCCTAGTTTGGTGAGAATGGCATGGTAAAATATTGTGGGAAGAAATTTGTAAAGACCTTGAATATATCTTGAGCTGTTCCATGTTTGAAATGTGTGCTGGCTTTTTACTCAAGAGAAATCTACCATGCTATTAACAGAGTATGGCAAGTATATATTCATAATTTTCTCTTTCAATGGCAATGCCCTTTCATGGGTTCTCCTTGGAGAATACCCGTTGCATCTATTATAATAGAACTCCTCTGTGACTTGTGATTCAATCTTCTAAGACAACTATATATTACAAAGCTCTCAAGATACATTTCTATTCATCTAGTACCTTCCTCTCTCTCTCTCTCTCTCTCTCTCTCTCTCTCTCTCTCTCTCTCTTACTCCTACTTCTTCTCTTTCTCCTTCTCTTTCTCATCCCTCTCTCATCCCTCTCCTTCTCTCTCCTCTATCCTCTATCTCTTGAATCTACATGCATTTACTCTCATTTTATCCTTCTCTTTTTCTCACATTCACTTTGTCCATAGCCTCAATTCAAATTGTTATATCTTGTCTTTCTTTAGAAGTCACTTAGTTTTCACGCAATGCTTTCACTGCCGGTTATATATTACAAACTACACACAGTGCACTACATTGGAAGGATATTGAATGCACAAGTTTGTAGAAAAATGATCAACATGTTAAGTGCATACTGATACAGTAGTATGATTTATTTATTAACACACTTTATTATCCCTCTCATTCATAAATATGTAGGCATATTGTACACCTCTAATGTAAATCACTCAGTTAATACAATTTTCATATTGAATAATAATAATATAACTAACAACATAACAATAATACAGCAATAATAATGACAATAATAACAATTATAAGTAACATTATTATCTCAATTAAATTGCACAAAATACCTTTAATTTTGTTTAAATAATTGTTATCAAGAATAACTGTCTGACAAAGAAATTGTTAACAACCCGCTACATGTACATGTGATATTCATTAATTTCGGCAGTGTTGTTATAACTAATGACATAATGACATAGACCCTGTCATGATATTGCTTAAAGGTATAGACCAGTTCTGGTCATGCGATTGCATTGTGAAAGAAGCGTTGTGGAATCGATCAGAAAAGGTTGATCATCTACAGTAGTATATTAGTATTGGTGTGTACTGCAAGGTTCTGAAATCATCAAAATGATAAGAAATTCGGCCCAGTCTTGGTAAAGTTACAAGCACTGTACACAGAAAGATGTATATGGGACTACGTGATATCTATCCAGTCCGGATAGATATAATAATTTACCAAATATAATATCAATTAGTAGGCGGTTTCCCGGCAAAATATATACATGTATCATCACGTATTAGTCAAAACATATTCTTTCACATGATTGGTTTCCAAATAAGAGGTTTCCAAAACTGGTCTATCCTGATTGAAACCCTATACTGCTACATTGTTTGGGAGTACATTGTACATATTATGTATTGTACGTGTATACAAATGCCAACAATTTATTTTTATTTTATTTTTTTTTTTTTTTTCTATCATTTTTATTGATCGGCGATCGGAAATTATTATCAGATCACCCCTGATCGGCTCAAGAAATCGGCTCAAGAAATCGGCCCCCGATCCGATGATCGGTTACAGGCCTAATTACAATACATTGTAATAGTAATCACTGTTCTATATGTATTCATGACAGTAAAAGCCAGGCAAATATGTATGCTGCCATGTTTCACTGATGAAAGATATTGCTGTATCCTAAATGTACACCAATGAAGATCAGTTCAATGGTTTGCTATTACCTGCGTAATCTTGTAAGAATGCAACCGAGGGACAAGACTTAAGGCTTAAAGTCTGCTCTTCCAGGATTTCTCAGTTACAAAACTACTGCTCTACCACTGTGCCACTGCACCTCCACATGTAGAATACCACCAGCTAAACTGGCATATAAACGCTCTACTCAAGGATTAAATTGTTTACAATATGGTTGAATGTTGCATCTTACTCACCAAGTTTGACTTGCAATGAAGATGGCTTTCTTAGATTTTTAATGGAATGTCTACTAGAGGGTGAGTTGGTAATATCCACATGGGTCGTCATCCTTTCCGTCTCCAACATCTAAATAAACAAAGATTTAAATAAAAATGTTAAAGTTAGAATAATATCGGTAGTAATAAGCAATAATGATCATGATGATCTTCATCATAATAACAAGTTTAGACCGCTTTCAAACCAGGTTTAGCAGCCCTACTTAAACCATGCCCCCTAATCAATAACCACCTGCATCTACATATCAAGTGTAAATTCCCTTGCAGATTATTTAGGACAACAATCCAAGATCAAAAAACATTGCCCCTGGCAGTGGCAGCAAGTTTTGTGTCATCCTTATGTTCGCAGGAGGGACAAAGATCGCCTCTCCCCCTTCCTGAAACAAAAGGATGACGTACTGTAGAGATCGCCACTAGTGGCTCAGACTAATGTCAAGACTAAGAGCAGCATCACTAAAACAATATGTGTGTAGATTAGAGTATAATGCATCTCTATAGAAAATTTGAAAGAAATGTGTAAAGAAATGTGACCTGCAAAGCAACACAAGATATCCCCTTAAAATACGACCTTTGACCCTATAAAAGATGGAACATTGGGGGAACACTGGTAACCAGTAACCAGGACGAGTGAATATGACGTGAGCTCTTTGGTACTCTATAGAATAAAACATCACGACATACAGCTATTATTGACTTATCGTACAAAACATTTGACATGGGATTTATCACATGACATTACACTAAGAACAGTTGCTATGTCTCGTCTCAATGAGACGTGGGCTGCCACATGTATGCAACTTAGTTAAACGGGTACTAAGTACGTAATGCGTCTTAGTGGTCTTTGTGAAACTCCCGCCAAAATGCATCTTACACTAAGTCTTATAGCCAGACTTAAGGATGCTTAAGACGCATCCCAGTGCTTAATCTTAGTGGGAGTGTCATGGTCGAGTGGTTTAAGGCGCTTGACTTGGAGATGCGAAGGTCGAGGGTTCGAATCCCGAAACGTCACTAATATCCTTTGGCAAGATATTAACCTGCACTTGCTACTCTCCACCCAGGTGTTAAATGGGTACCCGGTAGGATGCGAACGTCATTGTTGGTCAAACAGTTTTTGAGCGTCATGTAACGCCTGGCTGGAATGCTCCCCAGGGAGTAGAGATTGTGCACACATTGTGTGCGGGCAAGCACTGAATCCAATGACCGGGGTAATAGTATATTTGTAAAGCGCTTAGAGACATTTGTATTAAGCACTATATAAAAATTTAATGTTATTAATATTATTATTAATCGTGAAACAGGCCCCTGTTAAGACACATCAAGGAGTTTGCAATTGCGTTTAATCGATTGCAACTTAAAACTCCATAACTTACATAATTTTAATCAGATTTTGCTCAAACTTTCACTGACCTGTTCTCTCATTTTTCTGCTTCTATAAAAATCAGCTTAGTATCAAGGGTGGACCTTCTCTTTAATTTTTTTTTTTAATACTTTCTTTTTCTTTGTCTGATTATATATTTTTGCAATTCAAACTTTATTAATGAAGATTTTATGATGATGAAATAAATTGAAATAGATTATATATTAAAACAAATTGATTCAGTGCTTTATTAACATTTAACATAATTAAAGAATACAGCTCTCATGCAAGATACATCAAGATACTAAAAGAAACATGAGAAACAAATGTATGGCACTGGACTCTGGAGATTGTATACATTTTTACATTTTATTTTCTTTAAATCAAAATTATTAACAAATGACAACGACCCATCCCGTAATATGAATATTAAATGAGCATTTGACATTTAAAAAAAGTGTACTTTAAAAAACACACGCATGCATGAGCAAGTGGCATTAACATCACAACAAATTAAAAACTTAAATGATAACTTATTAAAGGATTAGACCCTACAAATAAATTAATTTTGTTTAATCGACCTAGGGGTCTAAACTGCACGGTTTGCATAACAAAATATATTTCATTAATTAAAAGTGAAACACTATTGACGACTACGAAGGAGATAGTGGCTTGCAGGGCACCTGTAACATTTATGATTTAGCACGCAAAATGGAGAGAACAGCAAATCAGCACCATTATGGCAATACACAACACATGAACCAGATGAATCCAGAAACAATACACACAGATCTAGGGATGGGGCCAAGCTGGACAACAAATAAAAATTACCATACCATATGATTCCAGATTAAAAGGACAATCGCGTGAATAAAAGCTAATAATCCTACTCAAGAGGAGCACCTTACCCGTGTGTGTTCGTTGACTGATGTCGCATACCCGCTGTCTGTTTCGTCTTCTTCCATGCTTGCTCCGTGGTGGGAGGACCTTTTTTCCAGTCGAAGGGAAATTAGATGTTGATAACTAGATAATGAATGAACGTGGATGCGTGCGCATGAGAATCAGCTGACGGTGTTTTGGTCGCGTGCCCTCTTGCGGTGAATGGCTATATAATTTGTGAGTATTAGCACTTTGGATTACATAATTTTACCCACCACAGATCGATAAAAAACATAACAAAGAGAAAAAGCAAAATGTGGGTCTATTCTTAATGTAACGATATAAACATCCGCCTCTTAGATATCTACAATACAGCAGGAAAGTTAGATTTTTCTATTGGGTCATGGCGGGGGGGGGGGGGAGGGGCTGGAATTAGAGGTGTATTAATTGTAGTGTTTAAAATTAGATTTTGAAGGACTATGAAATAAAGATACTTGGAATTCTTGATGATGGATTTTTAAATAATTTCATATCCAGAATACACTCATTACACTATCATGTTAATACTTTGTTTGCATTTTTTCAACTTATTTCCCTTGGGGCACCTCGGGGCAGCATTAGTTTAATTTTGAGACTGCCCCCTTGATATGCATGAAGCTGCAACTATTAGGAGTAGGATCACATGAGAGCCCTTGTCTCCAATGTATAGTGCCTAAGGTAGCCTAATTGGCTTAGTCAAGTCGCATCATATATTCATCAAACATCACTGCTACATTTAATTAATAAACAATATACATGTCGTAATATAAAATGTAATAAAATGACATATAATACATCACATTAAATGATAAAAACAGAAAATTATAGATGCAACAAAGACAATGAAGCTCAAATAAAAGGTATTGTAAGTCATGTAATAATGTAGGTACATATAAACTATTAGCAAGTCATTTTGTTTTATCTACATCATAGGCTTAGGAAGATTTTCAGGATTGGGGGGGGGGGGGGCTCGTTTTTGACCCGACGTTTGAAGATTTTTTTTCCCCCGACTGCCACCCCCACCCCCAACGGTGTTACCATTTTAGACAGTCCACAAAATTTAAGCCTTCCTTTTTCCTCTCTCTTTGCTCTACCCCCATTTTTAAACCACCACTAGGGAGGGGGGTTAGGGTGATTACCTGGAAACACAGTATTTTTTGCCTTTTGAGTCTTAATTGTATACCCACTGGGCGATTAAATCATGCAAGCGCAAAGCACGAGCTGATTTTTTTTTTCCGCTCTCGATAAAGTGACCTGAAATCACTGCATGTTAAAATGATTATTCAAAATAATCCCCTGAAATAATCATTCTAACATGGGTTAAATAGATTAAACAAATATGGCGTCGGAAGTTCTAAGATGCTAATCACGTTCGGAATTCCATATGCAGTTAAACCATGCAAGCGCAAAGCGCGAGCCAATTTTTCTCTCGATATAATGACTCGATAATGTAGAGTGGCCTGAGCGGGTAGGCAAAGGGCGTGGTTCCAAGCGCGTAGCTAGGATTTTATTTTAGGGGGGCGGTAGCACGCAAAGCGCGCTCCCTAGGGGGGGGGGGGGTGCAGGGAGGGGGGAGTTTCCTCCTTCCCGCGCGAAGCGCCGTAGCTTTGAAAGAAGACGATTCGTTGTACCTTTCTCGACTCTCAATCCTTGTCTAAATTCAATTCCACCCCTCCTCCCACCCCCTCCTGCGCGAAGCGCGGAAACTTTGAAGTTTCATTAAATTATTAGAGAAAGAAGACGATTCGTTTTACCTTTCTCGACTCTTAACCCTTGTCTGAATTCAGTCTCCCCCCCCCCTCGTGCGCGAAGCGCGAAAGCTTTGACGTATTATTAGACAAAGGAGTTGATTCGTTGTTCATTTCTCGACTCTTAATCCTTATCTGTATTCAGTCCCCCTCCCGCGCGAAGCGCGGAATCTTTGACATTTTATTAAATTATTAGAGAAAGAAGACGATTTGTTGTACCGTTCTCGACTTTCCCCCCTTTTTCTTCCTACGTCCTCACTTTTTTGGGGGGTCGGCGTTTTTTTCGGGGGGGGGGGGGCGACTGCCCCACCCCCCTTGCTACGCACCTGCGTGGTTCTAAAGTTACAGAGACACTTCGATGAAGACACCCTTACTCTATGACTGCATGTTGAACTTCCCTGGGCTTTACAACTTTAAACCTCAGGGGTTTATTTTGCATATAAAGGTATCTACATGTTCATTTATATAATAAAAGGAAATAATGTATATTCAAATATCATAGGTAGCAAATAAAGGATGACAAACAGAGGAATGGAAACAAACAGATAGGAGAGGATGATCAAGGATATATGATGTACTATAAATGTGATTTTTCAAGTAGCCTGTTCACACTATAGCACTACAAAAATGCATTTGTAGCCCTTCTTTTAAGCAGTTGAAGAAATTAATAAAAGTAGGCCTACTTGAAGAAATCGTTGAATTGTAAGATATTCAGTTTATTTTTTTTAAATTAGACAAAGTACTAGGTGTTAAAATGAGTCAATGTCGCTATTCATATGGACCGCTATTCATAAGGTCCGCTATTCGTAACGACCGCTATTCATAAGGTCCGCTTTTCATGATGGGAGAAAAGGTCATTATTCATAAGGGTCATTATTCATGAGGACCGCTATTCATAATCAAAGAAGAGGGTCGGTATTCATAATATTAGAAGAGGGTCGCCATTCATAATACGAAATCGGGGTCGTTATTCCTAAGGGTCCCTATTCATAATATTACACAAGGGTCGGTATTCATAACACAGGAAGAGGGTCGCTATTCATAATACGACGAGAGGGTCGCTATTCATAATACGAAATGAGAGTCGCTATTCATAATGCAAAATGAGGGTCCCTTTTCATAAGGGTCATTATTCATAATCGATGAAGAGGGTCGCTATTCATAATAGAAGAGGGTCGCTATTCATAATAGGAGTAGAGGGTCGCTATTCATAGTAGAAGAAGAGGGTCGCTATTCATAATAGAAGTAGAGGGTCGCTATTCATAATACGAAATGAGGGTCGCTATTCATAATACAAAATGAGGTTCGCTATTCATAATAGGAGTAGGGGGTCGCTATTCATAATACGAAATGAGGGTCGCTATTCATGATACCACGAGAGAGAGAGTCGCTATTCATAATACGAAATGAGGATCGCTATTCATAATAGGAGTAGAGGTTCGCTATACATAATAAGAAATGAGGGTCGCTATTCATAATATAGAAATAGGGTCGCTATTCATAATACGGGATGAGGGTCGTTATTCATAGAATGAAACAGGCCTAAGCAATATCCAAAATGCTCATAACCAAGGGAAATGTTGGGCGGAGGACACCCCAAGGCGACACATGGCCCTGAATATTTGTCTTGTTTTAATTTCACCTTTTATCTTTGATAATTATATAGAGACATCTCCCGCCCTTATGGTGACTCAAAAAAAGGAAAACTTGAACATATATTATCGTATCGTAATTTAACTTCCTTGTGGGAAATGTTGCCCCACCACCCTGCCCCCGACTGATCTTATCCAGGCTATGACAATGCGACATTAAGTAGACCAAGCAGGCACATTTTCATAGTTAGGGTAGTTAGGGTAGGGTGGTGGTAGGCGTAGGATGTAAGAATTGGTAGGGTTGTAGTTGACGAAGGATGGTAGTAGAGGTAGGATAGAAGAAAGGGTAGGGTGGTGGTAGGCGTAGGATGGTAGTAGAGGAAGGATTAAAGAATGGGTAGGGTGGTGGTAGGCGTAGGATGGAAGAATGGGTAAGGTTGTAGTTGATAAAGGATGGTAGTAGAGGTAGGAGAGAAGAAAGGGTAGGGTGGTGGTAGGCGTAGGATGGTAGTAGAGGTAGGATTAAAGAAAGGGTAGGGTGGTGGTAGGCGTAGGATGGAAGAATGGGTAAGGTTGTAGTTGACAAAGGATGGTAGTAGAGGTAGGATAGAAGAAAGGGTAGGGTGGTGGTAGGCGTAGGATGGTAGTAGAGGTAGGATTAAAGAAAGGGTAGGGTGGTGGTAGGCGTAGGATGGTAGTAGAGGTAGGATAGAAGAAAGGGTAGGGTGGTGGTAGGCGTAGGATGGTAGTAGAGGTAGGATAGAAGAAAGGGTAGGGTGGTGGTAGGCGTAGGATGGTAGTAGAGGTAGGATAGAAGAAAGGGTAGGGTGGTGGTAGGCGTAGGATGGTAGTAGAGGTAGGATAGAAGAAAGGGTAGGGTGGTGGTAGGCGTAGGATGGTAGTAGAGGTAGGATTAAAGAAAGGGTAGGGTGGTGGTAGGCGTAGGTTGGAAGAATGGGTCGGGTTGTAGTTGACGAAGGATGGTAGTAGAGGTAGGATAGAAGAAAGGGTAGGGTGGTGGTAGGCGTAGGATGGTAGTAGAGGTAGGATTAAAGAAAGGGTAGGGTGGTGGTAGGCGTAGGATGGTAGTAGAGGTAGGATAGAAGAAAGGGTAGGGTGGTGGTAGGCGTAGGATGGTAGTAGAGGTAGGATTAAAGAAAGGGTAGGGTGGTGGTAGGCGTAGGTTGGAAGAATGGGTCGGGTTGTAGTTGACGAAGGACGGTAGTAGAGGTAGGATAGAAGAAAGGGTAGGGTGGGGTAGAGGTAGGGTGGTGGTAGGGGTAGGACGGTAGTAGAGGTAGGATTGAAGAATGGGTAGGGTGGTGGTAGGGGAGGATAGTGTTAGAGGGAAGAAAGTGGTAGAAGTAGGATTTTAATGATCGTATAGAATGTATATTGAGTGGAAGAACGAGATAGGTGGTGTTAGTAGACGTAGGATGGGGGTAGATGTAGGATGGAAGAATGGGTAGGGTGGTAGTAGACGAAGGACGGTAGTAGAGGTAGGATAGAAGAAAGGGTAGGGTGGGGTAGAGGTAGGGAGGGGGTAGGGGTAGGATGGTAGTAGAGGTAGGATTGAAAAATGGGTAGGGTGGTGGTAGGCATAGGATTGAAGAATGGGTAGGGTTGTAGTTGGCAAAGGATGGTAGTAGAGGTAGGATAGAAGAAAGGGTAGGGTGGTGGTAGGCGTATGATGGTAGTAGAGGTAGGATTGAAGAATGGGTAGGGTGGTGTAGAGGTAGGAAGGGGGTAGGGGTAGGATGGTAGTAGGGGAGGATAGTGTTAGAGGGAAGAAAGTGGTAGAAGTAGGATTTTAATGATCGTATAGAATGTATATTAAGTGGAAGAACGAGATAGGTGGTGTTAGTAGACGTAGGATGGGGGTAGATGTAGGATGGAAGAATGGGTAGGGTGGTAGTAGACGAAGGACGGTAGTAGAGGTAGGA